GCCTAAGGCTCAAAATTGATTCACCATACTGTGATATTTACGTGAGCTTGACCACTCAGATGCTATAAACACCATGTAAAAGACTGGGCATTAATAATTAAAGCCGCTTGGTGCTGGCTCGAGAATACAGAATACATACGTAGATGGAGGGATAGAGGCTGGAAACACCCACATATGGGAATTTGGTGGATGATAAAGCAGAATTCAAACCACTGGGGGAATGAGATACTTCAGTGAGTATGTCAGAACAACTGGGCATCCAAATGGAAAAATCGTGAGTGTGACGCTGACTTTATCACTTATTCTAGTACGATTTCCAGATGTTCCAAAGATTTAAACATGAAAATAATCAAACTGCAAATTCCTAGGAGATAACACAGGAGAGTTTACTTATTTTTAGAAATGGCTATCTTTCCAAATAAGACACAAAGGTACAAAAACTATAAAAGAGAAAAGATTTTCAAATTTGACTGTATAAAAATTAAAACCTCCTGCAAAGGAAATAAATACCACAAACGATTTCAAAAAGCAAATGAGAAGTTGGGAGAGAATATGGCAACATATATGACAGACAAGGGACTAAATCCCTTAGTAATTAATTAATAAACTGACAAATGTTTAATGAGCAACTCTTACATGCCAGGAACCATTTTAAGCTTTTGGGGATTCAAACCAATTAAAACTTCCTGCCTCTTGGAGCTCACATTCTGTGGGAAAGTCCACAAAGGGATCTTGGATATTAGTAGAAAAAGAATAAAAAATGAGCAAAGACCATAAAGAGTTTGCACAGTTTATAATACGAATGGTATTTAAACATATGAAGTGATTACGCATCCTCATAACAAATGAGATACCAGTTAAATTTCAATAGAGTACCATTTCGTCCACCAGATTTTCCAAAATAAAAAATGTGATAATTTACGTGTTGACAAAGGTACAGAGAAATAGGCATCTTCTTGTGTTTTAGGTGGCAGTGTGACTGGTCCAAGTTCTTTGAAAAGCATTTTGTCATTGTGTGTGATTATCTAGACCAGGGGTGTGGGTGCTCAGTCATTGCCTCTTTGTGACCCCGTGGACTGTAGCACGCCAGGCTTCTCTGTCCATGGGATTCTCCAGGCAAGAATACTGGAGTAGGTTGCCATTTCCTTCTCCAGGGGATCTTCCCAAGCCAGGGATCAAACCCACGTCTCCTGAACTGGCAGGCAGATTCTTTACCATTGCACCATCTGGGAAGACTGATTTGTCATCATTGATCACAATTACAAATGCACCCACTCTTTAGCCCAGCAATTCTGCTTCTAAAAACTGAGGCTACAGGTATATTTGTGTATGGGCACCGTAGCATGTATATGAGAACGTTCGCTATAGCATTGCTTCTAGTAGTGAGACTCACAAACAGCCTAGATATCCATCAACAGGACTGTGGTTAAACAAATATTAAGTGAAAGTGAAAGTCACTCAGTCATGTCCACCTCTTTCGACCCCATGGACTGTAGCCTGCCAGGCTCCTCTGTCCATGGAATTTTCCAGGCAAGAATACTGGAGTGGGTTGCCATTTCCTAATCCAGGATAAACAAATATGGAACACGTCTAAAAACAGTAAAAATTGTTTAAAAATATATATATATATAGTTTCAGGAATTCCCTGGCAGTCCAGTGGATAAGACTCTGCTTTTACTGTCCAGGGTCTGGGTTCAATCCCTGGTTGGGGAAGTAAGATCCTGCAGGTGGCAAGACTTGGCATAAAAAAAAAGAAAAGAATATAGTTGCTGAAAATAATGTATGAAAGATTCTTCAAAATACATTGTGAATAAAAGTAAGGTTCTAAACAGTTACATGCAATGCTGAGTTGATAAATGTTTAATAATGTAAAAAAAATTGTAAGTATGTTTATATTATATAATTATAAATTATACTAAATAAAGGATTTTCATGTACAGATTATAAATAATAGAATAAACAATATTCTTCATTGTAAATTCCATCCTTTAAAATCAGTGTGATGTGCTATTTCTTACAAAATCTATTGTCAGTTTTATAAATCTATCGCCAACAGTCATGTTACAAAATCGAACCATGAAAAACGCTTGAGAACTATTCAGTTAGCAAAGAAATCGCTCAAATTGACGAGTGTGTTCAAACATGAAGATCGGTTGATAGCTCAGTTTTATTCCTGAGGAAAACAAACAGGAAACAGCAAGTATGTGTGTTGGAACTTCACCATTTATCAGCGACGTGGGCTGCTTGGCCCAATCAGGTCACAGTTTCTGAAAACTAAAGAATATTTCCTGGGGCTTCCCTGGTGGTCCAGTGGCTAAGACTCCACGCTCCCAACGGAGGGGGCCCGAGTTCGATCCCTGACCAGGGAACTAGATCCCACATGCCACAACTAACACCCAGGGCAGACAAATAAATTAAATTAATTAATTAACATTTTTTTTAAAAAAGAATATTTCCTCACCTTTCTGTTCTTCACAACATAGCAGAGTCAGACCCAGCACTCTTACACCGAACCTGTGTCTCTGCCATTTTCCCCACCACCGTCTCAAGGCTAGAACAGGAGTCAGCCAAATCCTCGAGCCACATCCGGGCAGCCATCTGGTCTGCAAGTGCAGTTTGGAGCACAGCCCCTCCGCATCTGCGTACCTCTAAGGCTGTTTGTGTGCGCCAGTGGCAGAGTTGACCATTGCAACCGTGTCGCTGCGAATGCTTGGATATTTACCATCCAGCCCTTCAAGCAAGCGTGTGCAGACCCCTGGTCTAGATCACCAGCAGAGCAACAAATAACACTCTGATTTGCCGTGTTTGCTCATTTCCAGGGTGTAAACATTCCCATTATGACCAGTTCCAAGCCACCAATGCATCCTCACAAAAGGCAGAGTTGGGAGAGTATGTGTAGCATTTCCACGCTACAGATAATGACACATGAGGTGTCAGTGACCTCAGGAAGGCAGGTGACAGTAACACGTAGTAAAATAGTTAGGAAGCCATGAGTTGTAAGTATTTGTTTTAATATGATTTACTTAATAATAAGGTCACACAATTCACTTTTTAACAATGGCTGTGTTTGATAACCAGCTCACCAGATTCCTGAAAATGCAGCAGTGGTCTCCTGTGAGCCGACAGGGCTGGCTCCCGCACACCGCTGGACGCGGTGCACCAATGTGTGACAACGCATGAGCAAGAGCACGGCCTCCCGTCCTTCTACACTTCTATGTGCACAGAATGTCTGAAGATGTGTGAGAAGCCGAGGTGGACCACGGGTCCAAGAGATGGAGTGACATGGAGATTTATTTTTTTACTGGAGATTCTTTTTGAATTTTTATGCCTATGTGACCCCTAAAAGCCCAATTTGTTATTGTTTTTTGGCGGGCTATTAAATCCCTATTTCCTGCATCCCCCTTTGGCCCTGGAGAGCTGGCGCGGCTGGTGGAGTGCTCGGGCACAGCTGCACCCCCGCTGGAACCCGAGGGTGGCCTCCCCAGGTCCGAGTGCACCGGGGCGAGGTGAATCAGCGCGTTTGCCAGATGAAAACCCTGCCGGAAGCTTTCTCAAGAGTGCCGGCCCCACTGCCTTGCCCTGACTTCTATATCTCTGTTCATCTTTCCTGGAAAAAAATAAACAAGCTTTTCCCCATCACCAATTTCCCCGGCGTTTTGCAAGGCAGGCCACGGCGCCCTGCCTGCCAGCTCCACCCCACGTGGCACGGCTTCCTGCCTATATTTACCCCAGGCTCCAGGGCCCTGGGCTGCGTCTGTGCCCACGGATCAGCGGGCGGGGGCAGCTGCCAGCCCAGGTCCACCCTCCCAGCTGGCGACCCCGGGCATCTCTGCTGGGGAGACCAGCCTGGCGGTGCCAGGAGCTGCGTCCTCAGGAAGCACCTAGAAGACTCAGCCAAGAAGCGGAGACGTCGCCTCAGCCCACGGGGCCTCTGAGGGGCTCTCACTGGCTTTGCCAGCTTCCTGACTCTACGCTGAGCTGCCGCCTGGCGCTGGTCACTAGTTCCTTTTCGTCCTCTGGTTTATGAACCTCTTTCTGCCTCACCTGGTCCTCACCTGGACACCGGCCTCGTGGCAGAACTCCTCCCACGAGTCCCACGTGGACGGACCGTCTCCTCCCAGAGGCCCACCTCGCAGCCCCCGCCCCATCCTCCTCCCCCTCGGTCCCAGCTCCCTCTTCCCTGGACTCCACAGTCAGGTCACCTCACTCGCCAGCCTACCGACTCGGGGCCAAGGACGCACCCAGGTTTGTCTCCCAGGGTGACTTCCTCGGGGGTGACATGACAGGCAGCGACCGGTGTGGCTACGCTCTCCCTTCTAGCTCCTGGAGATCCCTCTCCCAGACCCAGCGTCCAGGCTAGATGAGGCTGGGGGTGTCTTAGGCTCCCCCGAGGCTGCGTGTGTGACCGGAGTTTACGGGGCCGTGTTCCCCAGAGATGTCGGGAGGAGAACGAGAGTGGAAGGAGGCCAAGCCAAGCAAGGATGCAGCGCTCTGCGTTCCGGGCTTCCATCGCTGAGTGACGGGCATCCAGATCAGTGGCGGAAATCTACTGCTCCTCCCCGTGTGCACAGACTCCGCGGGTCAGGAATGTAGACACACCAAATGGAACGGCAGCTGGTTTCTCTCCCACGTGTCTCAGGCCTCAGGTGGGAACACTCGAAGGCTGGATGGCTCAATGAATAGGGACTGGATCTATCTAGAAGCTGCCTGACTTGCAAGTATGGCTGAACTGGGATGCGTCAGGCCAGGGGGTCTACATGTGGCCCTTCACATGGCTTTGGGCTTCTCACTGCATGGCTGCTGGGTTTCGCGAGCAGGCCTCCCAGGGGGCGAAGTCTTGGGGAAGAAGAGTTGCAGGAGATTACGGCAAATGCTGCAAGACTTGTTCTGACGCGGTTCCGGTCGGCAGCAAAGTTCTGCTGATTCAGCTGCATTCCACTGGTCACAAGTTATTGCTCAGCCCAGTCCAGATGCAAGGAGAAGGGACTTGTGTCTAGGCATCATTGAGCCTTAGACAATATCACACTGCAGAAGAACACACGCTGGGAGGCACTTCGGTGCTCATCTTTGAAACTGCCGTCTCCCATGTGCTCCGCGGGTGCCTCTGCTGATCCCATGTGAGGAGCTCTGGAGAGATGGCAGGTCACACCTTGGGGTCGCCCAGTCCGGGGCTGGGGACCTAGACCGTCTATACCCACGCACTCATGTGTCACTGGCCACAGGCCGCCCTTGGGAGAGCACAAATTTCCAGACACTTCTGTCTGCCTGTGAGCAGACAGAGCAGACTCTGGCAGGCTGCGGGCAGCCCCCGTAACCGTGTGTGCGACAGAGACGCAGGCACTGGCCTTGGCGTTGAGCGCAGTGTAGGAACAAGTGAGCATAAACCGGAAAGGGATCCCGGGTGGTGTGGGCAGGCTCCATCCCTTCAGCTGCTCTAACAGAGGACCCTGCCCGGTGGAGAGGGGAGGGGGCTTGTAACAGCAGAGGTGTCTCGGAGTGCTGGGGGCTGGGAGTCCGAGGTCAGGGTGCCAGCGCCGTCAGGCCGTGGTGAGAACCCTGTTCCCGGCGCACATGGTCGTCCTCCGGCGGTCCCTCGCGCGCCCGAGAGCTCGAAGGGGACACACCCTCTCTGGTGATGCCCGCTGGGCACAAACCCCCTTCCGAGGGCTCTGCTCGAGACCGCATCAGAGCCTAGTCACCTCCCAAGGGCGTCCCCTTCACACACCAGCACGGCGGAGGGTGCGGCTTCCGCACGCCGCCGAGGGCTAGCTGGGCTGGGGCCTCGGGGCAGACCCCGCGCTCAGGCAGTGGTGTGGCGTGGGGTCGGGCCCTGGTGTTTGGGATTAGACGGCTCCCGGTGCCACTGTGACCACTGGGCAAGCTCATTGGTGACACAGCGGTAATAAGCATGCTCACTCCACAGGGCGGTGGTAAAGACGAAATGACGTTGCGCGGGAGAACCATGAACAGAGCTTCTGGCACCCGGCGAGGGCTCAAGGCGTTGACACGTCGTCTTGTTATTTTGATAAAGACAAGACAGGGAGTTATCCACCCAGCCGGGAGTGGAGAAGGGACGACTGCGGGCCCTTCCTGACGATCTGACAGAGCTGGGGTGTGGCGGCGACGAGACGCTGCTCCTGGGGTGGCTGCCGAGGCGTGTCTGTGCGCCTAACGCGGGGTGCGAAGCCTGCTGCGAGGGAGCCCCCCCCACCCCCCGGCTGCCAGGGAGCCCCCCGTGCGACGGACACGGGTCATCCACATCCGCGCTCTCCCATCTCAGCGCAGCCCGCCACCCTCTGGGTTTCCCTGGTCAGTCCTACCTTTTCTTATTTTTTAAATTTTATTTATTTTTTAATTGATGGAAAATTGCTTTACGATTTTGTGTTGGTTTCTGCCATACAACAAATCAGTCATAATTATACATATATAGTTATATAATATGTAATATACATGATATATAAAAGAAGTAAGGTGTGTGTGTGTTTATATATATGTGTGTATATATATATATATATTTATTTATAAGCACCTGCTCTCTCTGTCCTCATTCATTTCTCAGCTGCCAGGAAACATAACACTTGCATCTCTTTCTATTTATCTGGTCACAGTTGTTTGGGTTTTTCGTTTGTTTTAATAAAATAGCTCCTAAATACCAAAAATGTGCACGTGTGTATATAATACAGATTTATAGTTTTTTTAATAATACAATTAATATACAGGTGCTTGATAACAAATTAAAAATAAATAAGCAAAACACCACCAGCGTCTTTAAGGTCTGCGTGCTCCCCTGCCTAATTTCTTCTTGTCTCCACCCAAAAGGTTGCCATCATCCTGAAATTTACACTGATCATTCTCTTGCTTTTTCTCTGCAGTATGTTGTATTAGTTATCTACTGCTGTGAAATGAATTTTTCCCAAACTTAGCAACTGAAAACAACACATGTTTATTATTTCTTAGGTTTTGTGGTCAGGAATTTGAGAGGAACTTCACTGGTGGTTCTGGATCCAGATCTCTCATGAGGTTGCCATCAAGACTTCAGCTAGGGAAGGGGACTTCCCTGGAGGTCCAACGGTTAAAACTCCACACTTACAATGCAGGTGTGCAGGTTCAATCCCTGGTCAGGGAACTAAGATCCCACCTGCCAGGTGGTGCAGCCAAAAATTTAAAACCTTTTGAAACAGACATCAGCCAGGGCCATAGTCATCTGAAGGCCTGGCTGGGGCTGCAGATACATTACCAAGATGGTGCACTGGCATGGCTGTTGGCAAGAGGTCCTGGCTATGTGAGCTGCTTGAGCGTCATGACGCCCGGCTTCCCCAGAGCAAGTGATACAGGCAAGGGCATGAAGGAAGCCACACCGTCTTTCATGACCTAATATCCAACATCACACACCATCACTTAGGCTTTATTCTGTTCATTAGAAGTAAGCCATTGACTCCAGCCCATATTCAGGCAGAGGGAAATTAAGCTCCATCTTTCAAAGGAGTGTCAGAATGTAAGAATTTGGTGTGTATGTGTCTGTATGTGCCTGTATTCCTAAACTACATATGTCTTTTTTTTTCTTTTTACCTAAATGGAATCACACTGTTAGTGTTCTGTGATTTGCAATTTTATCCAAACTTATATTTTTGAGACACATTCATATTGGCATTGTATTAGTCCACTGGGGCTGCCATATGAAAGTACCATAGACTGGGTCACTTACACAGCTGAATTTGCTTTACAGAGTTCTGGAGGCTGGAAGTCCAAGATCAATGTGTTGGTGGGGTTGATTTCCTCTTCTTGGCCTGTCAACAGTTGTCTTCCCCCTGTGTCTTCACATCGTCTTCCTTCTTCATGTGTTTGTGTCCTAATTTCCTCTTCATATCAGGGCATGGGTCATACTGGATTAAGACCCACCCTAATGATCTCATTTTAGCTTAATTTCCTCTTTAAAGACTCTGTATTCAAATACTGTCACACTCTGAGATACTGGGTGTTGCAACTTGAACATAGGAATTTTATGGAGCACAATTCAATCCATAACATACATAGAGGTGCTGCTTGCTCATTCTCACTGCTCTAGAGTATTCCATCGCATAAATAGACAAAAATATTTTTTTCTATTCTACTACTGATAGATATTTTAATTCCAGTTTTTGTTGTTATAAACCATACTGCCCCACACCTTCTGGCACCCTTGAAGATGTAAGACAATGACATCTTCACGTTTACTAAGCTAATGCCAATATTTTTCCCCAAAGGTTGCACTAATTTGTGTTCCCGTATCAGAATATAGAGTTCTTACTGTCCCCATTGTTTCCAATATTTGATATTGTCTCTAAATTTCCTAATTTCATGGATGAGAAATTATATCTTTTGTGGCTCTATTTAGCATTTCTCAGTTTATTTAGCATTTCTATTTAGCATTTTCTCAGGATCACCAACAGGGTCGAGGACCTTTTCATTTGTTTATGCAATGCTTTTTCCCTTCTTTTGTCCATGTATCCATTGGGGTGGGGGGCAGTGTTAATTTTTACTGTATTGATTTGTCAAAGTTCTTCACATATTAGTGCTAGACCTAGTGGCTCAGACAGTAAAGAATTTGCCTGCAATATGGTTTGGCCCCTGGACTGGGAAGATCCCTTGGAGAAGGGACTGGCTACCCACTCCAGGACTGCTGCCTAGAGAATCCCATGGACAGAGGAGCCTGGCTATAGTCCATGGGGTCACACAGGGTCGGACATATTGGTAACGTACATATTTTCTGCCAGCTATGGCTTGCCTTTTTGCTAATGCTTTCTCTTACCAAATTGCATGTCTGTGCTCTTCTTCTTTCACTTCTCTCTGGTTTGTGTTTTCTCTCAGGTCCTGTTCTCTCCTTGTTCTAAATCCTGTCCTTAGTTAATCGTCCAAGGAATGAACTTGTCATCTACAAATGCCACTGAATCCTAAACTGCAGCTTTAGGTAGCTCTGCTGAACATCTTAAAGTTCACTGAATACTGAGTGCTTTTTCTCACTTGTGAGCTCTTGCACATGCTTGCCACTCGGTGGAATAACATCTCCCACCTTCACCTGCACTCCTCCATACACTTCTTTTGTTCTTACTAACTTTCAAATCTCAGGTTTCAGCTTATGGGACTTCCCCACTGCGCCCCCATAAGTGCCATACAATTGTCCTGCCACTGCACTTAGCACACTGTACTATGATTTATCTTTTACTTAACTGTCTCCTGGACTGGACTATGAATCCTTATGACACTGTACCTAGTACTTATGTTTCTGTTCATAATGGACATGCAATAAATACTGTTAAACTAATGAATAATTTTCATTCACTTTCATGCTCAATAATACAACTGACACAAGTAAGCAGAATCATTTGTTATTAAAACATGGACATGAATTTTACACATTAATCATCAAAATAAAGCTAAAATAACCTCTGAACCTTGTCCCCCCGCCCCCACCAAATAAAAGCATTATAAACACGTACAACAATAGTTAAGGTTCATCAGCAGCCTCTGTTCAGCCAAGACCACAACCATGGCAAGACAATCCATGTTTTCGGGATCCCTCAAGATTTCACCATGGCCCTACGTCCCTCCCCAACCTTGGCCAAACTAGCTGCATCTCCTCCAGAGAGAAATAGGAGCTAGAAGGCTTGCCTGGTCACACCTGGGAAGGTGGGGACCCGTGGCACACGCGGGGAAACTAAACAAGGTGCCCGGATGGCGGTGCTTCTTGGCAAGGGTTCAGTGGCGTGCCTGCCCCGAAGTCATTTGTTTGGCGCTGATACCCTGCATGGTCTTCCGTGTATGCTTGCCACCTCTCCTCAATCTCTTCTGCTCCTGTGAGGTCCATACCATTTCTGTCCTTTATCGTGCCCATCTTTGCATGAAATGTCTCCTTGGCATCTCTAATTTTCTTGAAGAGATCTCCAGTCTTTTCCATTCTATTGTTTCCCTCTATTTCTTTGCATTGTTGACTTATGAAGACTTTCATCTCTCTCCTTCCTGTTCTAAAGTTGCCCTGTCTTTTGCCCCCTTCTCACATAAGGGCTACTCAGTCAATAGACTATTTTAATAAATAGAAGGCATAAGCCCTTTGAACTGAATATCTAAAAATGACTCTCTTCTCCTAAAATTCGGCCTTTGTTCACAGTGATCATTTTACAGTCCTGCTCAAAAGTAGGGAGTGATTCCCATCAACAGAAAGTTCACAATCCTAAGCCACCTATTCCAGGAGCCCCACAACCTGGGTTTGGAAACTTGGGGAGAATTATGCTAAGCGGAGAAAGAGGTTGGACATTCTAGGAGAGATGGCATTGGCAAAGGTGTTGATGAAAAGTGGAGAGACGTTTCCGTGGGTGCCTAGACCACGGCGACTGGAGGGTAGAGTTTCTACCCAGAAGCATCCGAAGATTCACTTTAGCAAAGACTCACTCACACCACTCTGGGGACCCTTCCCTGATCTCACCAACCCGCGTGGTTGTGCCTGCCTCTGGCTCTCCGCCAACTTGTGTTCCCACGTCTAGTGTCACAGGTAACTTACACTGCTTCATGCTGCTAACCACTGTCATTATTGTATAGTATCTATAATGTGTTGTTTCACTTCAGTCGTGAATCCCTAAAGGACAGTAGCAGTATCTAGGGCAAGAGTGTACCCAGAGCAGAGGCTTGAGACAACTGATTCCTTAGAAAACAAGGAGGGGCTGCCCAGATTAGATGGTTGGGTTATGTTCACCTCTGGAATGAAAAGAGTTGGTTAAACTTAGTGGGAAATCACTTATGCTGATTAGCAGCCAAGGAAATAATATAGGAGTTTATCAGCCTTACCCAAAATTTAATTTAAAAACCATTCCATCATCCAATTAATTTAACAGTCTGGTGGCATTGGAGTAGTTTTCACACTAAGTGGGAAAAAACAACGCTCCTTTTTTTGGTGGAGGAGATAAGACCAGACAAATGCCTGCAAGTAGTCACACACATGTGACTGTCTGAATCTAGATCTAGCTCTGGATTAGAGCCAATGTCATTTCACCCGAGCCCCGACCAGTCACATTCCACATAGAACAACATGTGTCTGGACTCGTTACTTTGCAATCTCACAGTGACCTTTGAAATAGCCTCTTATTATTGGATGAAACCTGCTTTGAAGCAAGGGAAGCTGATTGTAAATGCCACATGTTCAGGAGCCCAGGCCAAGTGCATCTTCACAAAAGTTCTATCATATTGTTGACAGACAAGAAATAGTTGCTGCATGTTGACTACTGCAAACCAGAAGTGCACCTATACTTACATCCGTGCGATGGGGCAGGAGGTCTGTGAGATTAGAGAGGTTCACCCTCCACTGACAATCCCTGCGACTGCATTTAATCCAACACTTTCCTCTGAACTCCTCACGGCTTCTCCAACCTCATTACCTCTGGGTTGGACTCCTTCACCTGCAGGAGTCTCTCTTCACAATTACGGCACCTCAAGACATTTGAAAGTGAGTCAGTCTCCCTTTAGAACATTTAAATGCTTTTTTAAAACAAAGAAATGTAATTGTGTACTTTTTCAAACAATTAACCAAAAATGGCAAAGGTAGGTGAATTCATGAAAGAAATAATAAAGGGAATAAAGAAAATTGGTTGAAAACTTTAGGTGCACAATTACCTTAGTAATTCTTCCCTTAGTTTGTTTTTATGTCAAAAACATATTTGAGGTTTTTTACAATAAGAAATATTCAGTTCAGTTCAGTTCAGTCACTCAGTCATGTCCGACTCTCTGTGACCCCTTGAAATGCAGCATGCCAGGCCTCCCTGTCCATCACCAACTCCCGGAGTCCACCCAAACTCATGTCCATCGAGTCGGTGATGCCATCCAACCATCTCATCTTCTGTCGTCCCCTTCTCCTCCCACCTTCAATCTTTCACAGCATCAGGGTCTTTTCAAATGAGTCAGCTCTTCAAATCAGGTGGCCAAAGTATTGGAGTTTCAACTTCAACATCAGTCCTTCCAGTGAACACCCAGGACTGATCTCCTTTAGGACGGAGATTAATAGAAAGAAAATTTTAAAATGGGCCTCCCTGGTGGCTGGGTGGTAAAGAATCCACGTGCGAGTCCCGCACACATGGGAGACGCAGGCTTGATCCCTGGTCGGGAGGATCCCCTGGAGGAGGAAATGGCGGCCCTCTCCAGCATTCTTGCCTGGAGAAGCGCAAGGACAGAGCCTGACAGACTGCAGTCATGGGTTGCAAAAAGGCAGACGTGACTTAGTGACTAAATGACAACAAAAAATTAAAGAGCAAGAGATGAAGCATGAAAAGAGAGTAAAAATTCTATCAAAACCCTAAGTAAAAGGAAGTATCTTAAACCATTCCGGTTGCTAAAAGAGAACACCACAGACTGGGAGGCTTGTAAACAACAGAAATTTATTTCTCACAGTTCTGGAGGCTGGAAGTCCAAGCTCAAGGCACCTACAGACCCACTGTCTGTTGAGAATCCACTTTCCTCTCGCTGAGTCCACACCTGGTGGATGGAGGGAGAGAGCTCCTGGGGTCTCTTATAAAGATAAAAAAATCCCATTCATAGGGGCTTCGCCCTCATGGCCTATTGCCTCCTGAAGTCCCCATCTCATAAATCCATCACATTAGGTGTCAGGCTTCAACATTTGAATCAAGGGGCACAAACATTCAGTCCACAGCGGGGAGCTGTAACTGACCGTGAGTCTCAACTCGGTGAGGCCAAAGGATCCTGGCACCCGGGGAGGGGAGGAGCCCAGGAGAAGTCCCTGGGTCCCGCGTGCTGCAGATCCATGGAGGGAGGGGACATTTCCACACAGTTATGTGGCCCTCCCCGCACCTACTGAGTCACAGTCCCCAGGCAGGAGACCCAGATGTCTGTCTAATAGCAGGAAGCATGAAGAAAGACAACCTTTTTCTTTGCTCTGAGACTATCCATGACAGATGGTTTCTCTGAAGATCACGGGACAACGAAATGCACAGTGTGGATCGTGTGGCTCTTCCTCACGCTGAGCTTCAGCAGAGGTTGAGACGTAGCCTGATCACAGCGGGTGAAAGATCTGGGTGCATCTCACAGGCGCGGCCCCTGGACCAGCAGAGAGATGGTGCACGTGGCCTCTCCTTCAGGGGGCAGTGAGGAGCGGGTAGGGCCATGCACGTGTGAGTGTGTGTGCTGGCTCAGTCGTGTCTGACTCTTTGGGACTCCAGGATATAGTCCCCCCGGGCGCCTCTGTCCATGGGACTTACCAGGCAAGAACACTGGAGTGGGTTACCATTTCCTTCTCCAGAGGGTCTTCCTGACACAGGGCTCAAGCCTGGGTCTCTTATATTGCAGACGATTCTTTACCCTTAGTGCCCCCTGGGAAGCCGTGCACAGAGCCGGTCCCCAATAATAAATGTTAGCAGTTTTTACAGTTATCCTCAAAGGTCACTGTTCTTTACTGGACTTTGGCAGGGGCTGAAAATGTCAGATAACCAACAAGAAGCAGTAAAAAAAAAAAATCATCCCTTCTCTCACTACACCTGCTTTGTAGCACTGTTGCCTGCAAAACCTATTACTGATTTCTGGGGAAATGAAGAGAGGACCTGGGTAATAAAGGCAAAGCTTCTTTTTCTTTCCCTCTGTGCTGAGTGTAGCTTCACTGGCTCACAGTGGGGCATGTGCAGAGGCCTTGCAGTGGGGGGCCTCAGGGTGGGGAATGCCAGTGTCCACACCTCAACTCAGGGCTTCCCAGGTGGCTCAGTGGTAAAGAATCCTCTTGCCAGTGCAGGAGACGCAGGTTCGGTCCCTGGGTTGGGAAGATCCACTGGAGAAGAAGTGGCAACCCACTCCAGTGTTCTTGCCTGGAGAATCCCATGGACAGAGGAGCCTGGCGGGCTACAGCCCACGCGGTCGCAGAGTCCGAGAAGAGTAAAGTGGCTGAGCACGCACGCAAGCCTCCACCGAGGGCGCGGGCAGAAGGGCCACCTGAGACACCATGATTCAAGACGGTGGCGCGGCGTTGCAGCGGGCGGGGAGGGGTCCTGAGAGCCCCCCTCCAGCATCTGGCACAGCCCCGCCCCTCCCTGTGAGGCAGCCCCGCCCCCCAGCTGATGGACAACACTTTCCTCTGTTTAGAAACAAGTTCGGTCTTGTCCTGTTGGCCCCAGCGACACTGCGCAGGAAGACCTTGTTGGGGACCCACTGAGGAGGGCGGGAGACAGTCCACCCACAGCACAGGGCAAGATCCTTACTTCACTCGCTTTCACAAGCACCCCATGAGAGGGACCCATTTTACAGATAGAAAGACCAGGAAAGAATGGGCCCAGAGTCATCACTGGTGCATGACAGAGCTGAGCGTCCACCTTCAGCACGGACACTGTGCTCTTAAGACCCAGTTCTCACAGCTCCGCCCGGGGGAGGATTCAGGCCGCTGGTTGTGGGGGGGAAGCAAGCTGCAGGCACTTGGAGGGACATGTCCAAGCAGTGGCTTTGTTGTAAAAATTAAAGCCTGAGCTACATCACCAGAGTCCCTGTGTACGCGGGCACACTTTTCACAAAACTAAGTGAATAGGGTCAAATGTCAAACTGGAGAAGACGCTTCAGAGTCCCTTGGACTGCAAGGAGATCAAACCAGTCAATCCGAAAGGAAATCAGTCCTGAATATTCATTGGAAGGACTGACCCTGAAGCTGAACTTCCAATACTTTGGCCACCTGATGCGAAGAGCTGACTCACTGGAAAAGACCCTGATGCTGGGAAAGATGGAGGGCAAAGAGAAGGGCATGACAGAGGACAAGATGGTTGGATGGCATCACCAACTCAATGGACAGGAGTTTCAGGAAATTCTGGAAGCTAGTGAAGGACAGGGAAGCCTGGCGTGCTGCAGTCCATGGGGTCGCAGAGTTGGACACGACTGAGCGACTGAACATCAAACTGGCAAGCGCACGCGTGGGTCTCACTCTGATCTTGGCCTGGAAGACTTTAGGAACGGGATTTGTCACGCGTCCACATCTAGCAGGCAGAACCCGTCAGAAACCCTCAGCTGATTCCCCGGAGTCTGAGTCATTGGGTAACCTCATCAACTTTCCCCTTTGTTCAGAGCATGGCCAGTAACATCCTTTTTTGAAATTTTCTCAACTCTTTCTAAAGGGCAGTCACCCCAGAAGTCATTTGTTTTAAAGTTTCACATTCATGCCAGCATAAAAGTGGACAATGAAACGCTGCGTGGATCTCGTGAACTGGAATCCAGATAGTGAGAGCTCATAAACTCCGGTGGGGGGGACCCAGGCTCCCGGGGGGCGGGGGCGGGGGCGGGGGCGGGGTGTCCTAGCGTGGCCCCCAGAGCACAGCCAGCTCCTTGTTCCGTTCCTGAACCATCATCAAGAGCCAAACACTCGCGAAGGAGGCAGCGGTGTCGGTTAGCGCATCAGCTTAAGAGGAGTAGGTGCCCGGACTGCTTTTATTTACATTCCCAGGGACCCATCAGTCACCGGGGAGCATCTAGAAGAACCGACACTCCCTGGACATCCTCCCGGATACAGAGCTTGTCGACTTGGAGAAGGATGACATTTTAAGACCGCAGTAAGGTGAGATCTGAGAGCATCTGAAACTCTAGGGCCCTCGGAGCAGCTGTTGGACACGGGACTTGAGAGCCCTCGGAAGCAGCAAGCTGCCCGGGGACGCAGGAAGCCGCGCTGCTCCTCCCACCGCTGCCGGGGCCAAAGCCTGCCTCGCCCCACCCCCTCCCAGCTCCGGGAAGAGCAGGAGCTCCAGAAAGAACGGAAAAGCCGAAAACCTGGAGAGGCGGCGCTAAGGAAGGGAGCCTCGGATAGACCCGGATGGACCAGCGAGGATCAGAAAGGGTAAAATTAAGTCCAGCGTTGGCTTTAGAAATAACTCTAAGGCATAATGAAAAGCAAAGTTGGAATGCCATCTTGGGGGGTGAGATAGCAGCCAAGTCCTTTTTGAATCTCTGTTTACAAATACGTTTAATTAAAACGGTTTTGACTGCAATAGTGTGCTCAGCAGGTCGTGTTCATGGCTGGAAAGACTAGCAGCGAAACCTCACCTTTAAAAGGAACACCCTTGCTCTCATCCTAAAATGTGTTGGCTACCAGGCCTGGAGAGAATGAAGGGACACAGCGCTATGGAAACCAGATGCAAATTCTGGGACACAAGTGGTTCACTGGTGCTTACAGAAATTTCGGATCTAGAGACCACTCCACTGATGTCAACGCCAGGAAGACTGCAGATCATTTGGGAAGAAATGATCTCGAGGAGCCAGCGTGGAGCAAGTCACATCAAACTTTTTTGATAAAAAAAAAAAAAAGTTTGTTTTTCATATAACTAATTTTCAATCATATTCTTTTTTTCAGGTTATAAAAGTAGGATCGTCTCACTGTTTTTTATTTTTTCATGGGAGTACAGTTGCTTTACGATGCTGTTAGCTTCTGGTACACACGGCATGAATCAGCTGTGTGTGTACATGTATCTCCTCTATCCTGAGCCTCCCTCCCTCTACTCCCATCCCACTCCTCTAGGTCATCATCACTATTTTTTTAAAGGCACTAAAAAAATAAACAAACAGGTGAATGGCCCCACCGTTATCCCAGCCCTCAGAGATGACCATCATTAACTGATTTATCCACGTTTTTCTCTGCATGCATACTGCTGTACAAAAAAACAGGACTTACACAGATGTAGCTCGATTCTCACAAGATTCCTGTTCCTGGAAAGGTGGTCTCCAAAAGCAAACTAACACTTAAAATAATTTCAGTTTCACTTTGACATTCACCTATGCATGCTTCATTTGTGAAACTGAGTAGTCCAGTAGGAAAACTTAGTATCGTCATTTTGATAGTGGGTCATTATTTCGGTTCCCATATACAAAGTGTGAATCATTAAATAGTTTCCGTTATTTGCATAGTTAACGAAAATGATCATACCATTAAGGAACATCCAGGTACTGTTAAAGCATTTTATGTATGTTAACTCTTAAGAAAACCCTGTGAGGAAGGTAGTCATATCCTATTTCAGGTGGAGAAAATAAGGCTCAGATAAATTAATGTTCCCAAGGTCAGGCAGCAAGCAATTGTGATATCACTTATTCAAACCTGTTCAAACCAAAGTCAATGTATGTTCCATCTTACCGCTTACCACTCAAGTAATCGGGTCATGGTTACGCATATATGTGGGTAAATAAATCAACATCCTCAAAGTTGTTTTGTGATGTGACTGTGCATATTATAGAACAATTAGTAGAGGTAGTGAGCTTGGAGTCCATTCTCTAGCTTTTAGCACCTGCGTGACCTTGAGCAAATCTTTTAACCTAAACTCAGCTCTATAAACTGAAGATCCTATCCAAAGTAATAATGGCCTCACAAGGCTATCAGGAATGGAAAAGGAAAAATGCCATCGATCCTACAAATATTTTTTAAAATTAGTAAGGAAAGAGTATGAATAAGAATATGTCCCCCAAAAGGCAAATTAAATAAATAGTCACATTCTTAAAAGGTACAGATTACTAAAACAGACATGAGAAGAAATAAAATGTAAGAGTAAGTCCATATTCATTAAACAAATGGAATTGTAATTAAAAACATTCATAAAAATACATAGCCAAGGCTAGATGGCTTCTCCGACAAATTCCATCAAATATTTAAGAAAGAAACAATACAAATCCTACACAAATACTTTCAGAAAATATAGGAGGAGGAAAATTTCCATTTCATTTTATGAAATCAGCATCACCCAATACCAAACAAAGCAAACTGCAGTAAAACTATGGCAAATATTCTTCATGAACTTAAAGGCTCAAAGTCCTAAAAGAATATTGGCAAGACAAACCAAATAATATTTTTTAAGTGTACTACATCATGTTCAAGTAGGACATATTCAGGACTTCAAAGTGAGTTTGACATTTGATAATCAATCAGTGTAATTTCTGTAAGAAGGGAAAGATTTGACCAAACACTTTAGAAAAATATGTTATACAAATGTTTACAAGCATATGAAAAGATGCTGAGCAAATCATTAATCACGGAAGCATACACTCAAAAGATGGACAGCACCAAGTGTTGACAAGCATATGAAGCAATTGGAACTTAAGTATTTTTGATGTAAAATGGCATGTAAAATGGTATTCATTCTGGAAAACAATTTGGTAATTTCATATAAAATTAAACATACACTTACTATGACCCGTCAATTCTATTCCTATATATTTACCCAAAGGAAAAAAAAAAACCTATGTCGACATAAAAGTCATATTCATCAATGTCCATAGCAGACCTCTTCATAATTGCCCCAAACTAGAAACAGTTTTCCTTTTCCAACTTTTCCTTCACTGGGTGACTAGATAAACAAACTGTGGTACATACGTACAGTAGAACTCTACAAAGCAGCAAGAAGGACTGAATTACTGGTGGATGAATCACACACACATTATGCCAAGCAAAAGAGACAAGACCCAAAAGGCTATCTACAGTACGATGTTGCTCATGTGAAATTCTAGAAAAAGTGAAACCACAGTGATAGGAAGCAGATCAGAATTTTCCCTGGTGGCTCAGACAGGAAAAGAATTTGCCTGCAATGCAGGAAACCTGGGTTCAATCCCTGGGTCGAGAAGATCCCCTGGAGGAGGGCATGGCAACCCAGTCCAGTATTCTTGCCTGGAGAACCCCATGGACAGAGCAGCCTGGCGGGCCAGCGTCCATGAGGTCACAAAGAGTGGGACACGACTGAGCGACTGAACACGGCAGGATGGAGAGAGAATTAACCGTAGAAGGGAACCAAAAGCCTTCTCAGGGGAGAACGGTTCTGTACCTCAATTACCGTGTCGATTACACGTCTATTTTCAAAGCCGGGCTTTGTCAGCCCTGGCTCTCCTGACATTCGCAGCAGCGTAGTTTTTGTTCTGGAGGAATGGCCTGTCCATTCCTGGATGTTCAACAGCACCCCTGGCCTCTGTTGCCCCAGATGTCTGTAGCTACCCCACCCCTCAAGTTGTGACAACGAAAAGCGTCTTCAGACATTGCCAGATATCTATACTGGGAGACAAAATTGCCTCTGGTTGAGAACCACTAGTCAAAACTCATTAAACAGTAGACTTTAAATTACCTAATGCTTTTGTACATAAATTGTACCTCCTTAAAGCTGATTTTTAAAATTTAGGTGGCAGTTTGGGACTACATGCCTTACACACAGGAGATGTGATTTTATTTTTATACATTTTACATATCCTTCAATATAATCATTTGAATCTATTTTACTGGAACAATTTTTCTCCAGACTTTTTGAAATGTTATCTAATATTCAACACTGCTACTGAAAAATCCGGTACAATCTTAATTTTCTTTCATCTTTCGGCCACACCACACAGCCTGTGGCATTGAACCTGGCCCCCTGCGTTGACACTGCGGTCTTAACCCACTGGACTACCAGGAAACTCCTAGGTGCAATCTTAATTCTTGATGTTTTGTGACCTTTTCTCTCTCTCGAAAACTTTTTACTCACTTTTTGTCAATCATTATGCTAGGTTCTAATGGGCTATTCAAACTGGAAAATTATGTCCTTCAGGTCTTGAACATTTCCTAGCAAGATGTATTTTTAAGATTCCTCCAATCTGCTTTCTCTATTTCTTTTCCTAAAACTCCAGGAAGATATTGAACTTTCCAAATACAGGCTTCAATTTTCTCATCTTTTCTGTCAGTTGTTCATCTTTCTGTCTGTTCATTACTTTCTAAAAGACTCTCTTTATCTTGAAAGTCTTACTGGAAATTTTGTTTCACTTTCAAGTTTTTTATTTCAAAGAGCTCTTTCTTATTCTTAGATTGTTTCTCTTTTCTAAGGAAATTACTGTAATTCAGCTATTTTTTCTTCCAATCGTTGCAACTGTGTCTCCTTTAGAGACAATGCGAATTTCAGTCTCTAATAAACATGCTGTCTTCAAATGTGTAGTGATCCTTAGCTGTGGGTCCATAAAATAATAAAAGTTTTAATCCACCAAGAAGAGAACAACTTTACATATAAATGTACATAAAATAGACTCAAATATATTAGATATAATTGTACAGAACAAGAGCGAATTTAGTGAGGCTTTTTCAGTTATTGATGGATGGGTCAGAAAGAAAAAAAATCAGCTAGAATATGGAAGGTAGGCCCCATTCAGTTAGATTTATGACTCACTTAAATAACATCTAACTGTAGAGTTCTTCCGAACATAAAGAATATACATTTTTTTCTCAAGCACATCTGGAATATATGCAAAAATCTGATCATGTATGGGCCATTTAGAAAGTCTCAATAAATTTCAGTCTCTATTATAAGCAGACTAGCAACTCTGACCACAATGAAATTACATCAGAAGTGTAAAATATAAATTAAAAATGTCCACATATTTAGCAGTATTGCTAAATAACTCATGAATTAAAGGGGAAATATCAAAATAAAAAAATTTAATATCTAAAACTATATATTAAAAAATCTTATATTAAAATTTCTAGGATGCAGCCAATGTATACTTTGAGGAAAATTTATAGCTAAATACTTACATTAGAATGGAAGAAAATCTCAAAATTAGTGAGCTAAGTATTCTTAAGAGCTTCAGGGGACAAAACAAAACAAACACAAGGGAATTAAAAGGAATTAGAAAGTAACAGTAGAGACATAAATCAACAAAACAAAAAACAAAAACACACCAGAGAAGAGACAAAAAGGTAAAAGCTCGTTCCTTGCTAAAACTAACAATGTAAATTTCTCAGTTTATCAAAATAAGAAGAAAAAAGTTAAAATAAGCAATGTTATGAATTAAAGGGAAAGTGAATGTGAAAGTCACTCAGTCATGTCCGACTCTTTGAGACCCCATAGACTATACAGTCCATGGTATTCTCCAAGCCAGAATACTGGAGTGTCTAGCCTTTCCCTTCTCCAGGGGATCTTCCCAACGCAGGGATCAAACCCAGGTCTCCCATATTGCAAGCAGATTCTTTACCATCTGAGCCACAGGGAAGCCCAAGAATCCTAGACTTGGTAAATACAGGAGTGGGTAGCCTATTCCCTGGAGAAGGCAATGGCAGCCCACTCCAGTACTCTGGCCTGGAGAATCCCATGGACAGAGGAGCCTGGTAGGCTGCAGTCCATAGGGTCGCTAAGAATCAGACATGACTGAGCGACTTCACTTTCACTTTTCCTTTCATGCATTGGAGAAGGAAATGGCAACCCACTCCAGTGTTCTTGCCTGGAGAATCCCAGGGACAGGGGAGCCTGGTGGGCTGCCGTCTATGGGTTCGCAGAGAGTCGGACACGACTGAAGTGACTTAGCAGCAGCAGCAGCAGCCTATTCCCACCCCAGTGGACCTTCCCCACCGAGGAATCAAACTGGGGTCTCCTGCATTGCAGGCGGATTCTTTACCAACTGAGCTACCAAGGAAGCCAGCATGAATTACAGGGAAGAACAGATAAAATGTACATAATAAATAACACAAATATGGTAAAAAATGACATGCCAACACTCTTGAAAACTTAGAGAAATTTCTACAAAAATATAACTTTCTAAAACTGACTCAAGCAAAATGTTTTAAATAGTTATGTGATTATCAAAGAAACTAGCAGTCCGGCTAGAATTATTTCTCCCGAGACGCAAAGCACCTGGCCCAGATGGATTGACAGAAGAGGTCAAACGTCCAAGGAACGAATCATCTCAAGTTGATACAGATTCCTGCAGACAACAGAAGTTTGGGACTTCCCGGGAGGTCCGGTGGCTAAGACTCTGCACTCCCATAGCAGGGGGCATGGGTTTGATCCCTGGTTGGGGGACTGAGATGCCACACGCTGGGCAACGTGGCCAACACAGAAGGAAAAAAAGAGATTCCTCCCCAGCCCGGCCTCCAGGGGCGGCGGCGGAGGGGAACGGGCCATGTAACAAGGCGGGCGCAGCTCGCTCTAGAGGAGCCTCCGCTCCAGGGCGGACGTGGGAGGGACACACGGGAAACGAGCGTGGCAGAGGATGGCAGCTGCTGAAGGGAGAAACAGACCAAGGGAGACGGACGGGAAACGGCTCGCACGGTTTAAAATCGCGTGGGCAGGTGGGCAGGCCTCCGTGTGAGGACGACCTGAAGCAGGGAAGAGAAGCCCGACCCGGCGGAGGCGCGGGTGGTCAGGGGCGCACGCGCAAAGGTCTGGGGCTAGGAGCCGGGCGGCGGTGTCCGAGGGGTGAACGCCCCCAGAAGTGGGGGTGCCCGGGGGGGGACAGGGGAAGATGAGGGCCAGCCCAGGCTTCGGCTCCGAGCACTGGGGGAGAGCGAAGCCCAGGACACCCCTCTCGGGAGAGCAGCCCCTCAGAGGCAGTCACGGGGCCCCGGGGGCGGTTCACGGCGTCACAGAAGCAGCATTTTCAGGTGGGCGTGATGCGGGAAGCCAGCAGAGACTGCCCACACGGCCGGAAAGCAAGCGGGTAGAGTCTGACGGTGTCCACATTTTCATTCAGTTCACAGAGATGGACTTGCAAGCTGCTCAGTGAGGCTGGCCAGGCGGGGGTGATCAGGCTCTTACAGATGGGGGAAACTGAGGTTCAGAGAGGCGCAGTGACCGGCCCAACGTCACACAGCTGGGGAGCGCAGAGCTGGGGCGAAGCCCAGATTTTCTGTCCAGGGCTGCATCCCCTCTGGGTGCCCCCCGGCTCAGAGTCTGCGGGAAGCACCCCTCAGATAGTGCCTGTCTTCTTATAAATGAGCATTCTCCCTCACTTCCCGCCCCACCCCCCTTTGCAGTTTGTTTTCACCAGCCCCTGGTCTCCTGTTTGCTTTTACAAGTAGCCTCAGTTAACCTCCATAGCTATGCTTCCATTGACAATAAAGACCTTTACTCCATGAGTCTCTTTCAACTCTATGAACCTTTATTTGTTTAAAATAACATCTTCAGGAACGCAACCCTAACACAAAATAAACCACAGCCACCGGTTACCTGGGTATTGGAGGGTCAGCCTGTGGGACCAGGCATCTCTGGGGGAGCCCAGCCCCCGTGGGACAGGCAGGAAGCCCCCGCCCCAGACCCTGGGCAGAATCCTGGGAGGGAGGGAGCCCCCACTGAGCTGAGCTGGACGCTGTGCCGACTTTATAAATAGCCCTTCCTAGGAACAGGCTCTCAGATTAAGCTCCTGCCAACCTCCTCTTGGTGGCCGTATTTTATTTTTTTAGCCTACAGCGGCCACCCTGAACTGACCCCACCCCATCCTAGAAAAAGTCCCCTGTGAGACGCAGAGCCCCACAGCCCTCCCCCCCACCACCACCCCAGCGGTCCCATCTTTCCTCCCGTGAGAGCTGGTCCAGCGGCCTTGCCAGGCGGGCACAGGACGCTTACCAAGAGGCCCCTTGTAGGGGGCGTCGGGGGGGGAGCGGCTCCCAGCCCCTCCCAGTCAGCCCTCCCCCACCAAGCACCTCCACCTCCTGCAGGGGGATCCCATCTCCCCACCTCACATCGGATGCCTGCTCCTGAAAGAGGAGGGGCCACGATTTCCACAAGGAAGGGTAACACCCGCGTTAACAATTTTCATATTTACACAGCTCACATGCAGGGCCTCTGCAGCCCCTGGGACAAGCCAGGTGCCATCCTGGGCTCACCAGGGCCCTCCAAGCTCGGTTTTTCTCCCAAGCTCCGGCCAGGCCTCCACCAAGCACTGTTGCAATGGGCAGTCCACCGCCCCTTTGAGCAGCCTAATTCATCTGCAGACGGCACTCCCAGCCAGAAAGTTCTTTCAAGGAAGCTGAATCCTCAGACCTCATCTGGGCCCTTCGGGGGCTTCTGCCCAAGCTTCAAGCTCCGCAGCCCTGCCACAGCGACCCCCAGGTCTCAGCAGAGGACCAGCAGGCGCCCTGCTCCATCAATCCCCTCTCCAGGGTCTGGGTTCTGAGCTTCACACCTGATGCTCTCTCGTCTCGTTCCCCGTTTGTACCGAGTGAGATCCTCCTCCAATTTGTTCCATCACGAGCCCCCGGCCGTGGGTGTCTGCACGGCCTGGAACCTGAGCACCTGCTTGTCCCGTGTACCCACGCGGGGCTCCCACCAGCCCTGTTAGCAACGGGCTAACCGTCTCCCCACCAACAGGTGGGGAGGTGGCAGAAGCTCCCCAGTGAACCGGGCAGCCTGACGGCAGAGCCAGTGCCCGGCACTGAGAAAGCCCAAGGACGTGAAAGAACCAGAAGCAGCAGACACAGCAGCTACAGAAGGTGAACCCTGAACTCCGAGTTCCTAGCCGTGGAGGCCATCAAGAAAGGCATGCAAGGAGCGCCCTGGAGATGGATTCAAGGATGCTTCAGATTCCAAGTGGGTCAGGCAAGCTCCAAAAAAAAAGAGACAGAACCAGCAAAGGCACGTGGGGTGTGTCTTGGGAACATCTGCCATTTGGACAAAAATGCATGAAAAGAATAAACCGGGAGATCAGGCTAGACAGAGGGTTCTTTGACAAATCCCTGCAAAGTCTTGCTGGGCTGGGCTCCCCCCTGCCATGGCCAAGGTCACGGGCTCTAGAGCTCTCGGGGGGTCTGGGGTAGCGAGCAGGTGATGGCTGGCCCCACACTGACTCACTCATCTTTGCTGCCCACTCGTCTGGCCGCCAGGCAGGAGTCTCCTGTCCCACAGACCGGCAGCCCACCCAGGACATGCCACCCTGGGACAGCAAGCTGGGAGCAGCCCAGCAGACTCCCTGGCACCAGCTCATACTTTTCATTTCCTCCTTTTTGCCTCAACTCAGATTAGTGCCAATGAAATCTCAGCCATGAATGGAACAGATACATGCGAACATTTTTACTGCTAAAATAATGTCTTCCTTGCATTCACATTCAAAACTGAGGGTCACAGACCAGCAGTCAGCCGACTGGAAACACCATCCCTGGTTGACCTGTTGACAAAATAATTCACAGGTCATTCTCAGGCCTCAGCCACGGAGCTCTGAACAAGCTCCCAGTTGCTGAATGAAACACAGCAGACTCCAGATAAAACCATTCATCTTAAAATCATCTCAGAACCCGGGAGTGCCTCTTAAAGCAAGTTCAAATGGTCACATGCTAACACAGAAGGCCAATCCTAGAACACCAGGGCTCTGCTTTACTGAATTTTTATACTTTTTCAGCAAAGGGTCTAGGCCTTGCCGTATGGCTGAGTCTGGAAAGGCTGGTGAGAAGGCTGGGTCCACCGGGGCCGCAGGAAGTGTCACAAGCCAGCACCACCGCCAGGAAAAGCCCCTCCAAGTTCCTGTCTTGCTTCATATGTGACAATGCGGTCGCAGTGTTTCGGCTGCCTCCCAGGCCAGCCGAATCCTGCCTCCCAGGATTCGCTTGAGTCTCTCTCACGTCTCCAGGACATGTTGAAGAGCGTCACCATCTCACAGGTCAGCCACTCCATCCGGGCAGGTGCCCTGAGACTTCTCAGGACACACCTCCTGATTTGGGACGGTAGAGCCGACTCTTCATGCAGGTGTGGGGTGAGCAAAGGTAACTGTGCGTTCACCCTGCCCTGCATGTGTTTGCAGCCCACAGAGGGGATTATGGAACTGTGACAACTTTCATACAAGTGGAGATAAAGAGTGACAGGGCCTGAGACAAACAAATAACAGAAGGAGGGAAAGAATAATTGCAACTCAGGAGGGCTCCGTGGAAGAGGTGCCCTCTCCCTGTGGCTTAGAGTGTGAGTGGGATTCCCGGAAGTAGGTCGGGGCTGGGAGAGGAGTGTTCCCCCTTGAGGGGGTGGGACTGTGCCCCGTGCACCTAGGGATGGTAGGCGATGCTCCCTTGGGCCTCGGAGTCAAGGACCAGGAAGACGGGCCGGAAAAGCGGGCCGGGGCTCACGCTGCGAGGTCTTCAATGCCGGGACCACCAGAGCCTGGAAAGCTTCTCCGTTCCCCCGTGACCCCCACCCCGCAGAGCCTCCCTCAGAGCCAAGGCCCGCCGCGTGACCCAGTTCTGCCGACAGAACACGGAAGAATGACCTAACAGGCACGGTCCCGGCCCGGCCCGAGCCCCACTGCTTCAGGCCATGGCCGGGCCTCCATCCAGGCTCTCCTCCGGCCCCGCTCGTTTGGACGGCAGCGCCCGCGGCAGCTTGGAGCCACACCCTGGAGACGGCCGGACCTCCGCCACCTCCCCTGCCCGTGACGCGGATCACAGCCCTGCCTCTGTCCCCAGGGCTGGGTGAGAGGCTCCCACCCGCGGCGCTGGCCTGCGGGTCCGGCTTCATGGGCTCTGAAGCCAGCATCTCTCCAGCGGAGAGGCCGGGCCTGGGGAGGCGCGTGCTGCCCCGCGGCCCCGAGAGCTGGGCTTTAGGAAGGTGGCGGCGCGGATACTGACCCGAAAGGAAACCACGGCCGACGCCTGGCTCGGGAGCTGCTGAAAGGCTGGTGAGGGGGTGACTGAGAGAGGGAGGGGACGTCCTCCGCTGGCTTCCTCCTGTTCGCTGTGCCGCCCCGTCTACGGGAGTGGGCCTCGCCCAGGTCTCCCTGCGAGGCCGCCTGCTCTCTTCGTTAGCATCGGACACCGCTGACCCTCGCGCTTCACCGCTGTGACCACCCCCGCCCTTCCCACCTCTGGACCCTCTTTCTCGCTCCATCCGCTCTTTTTTGCACCAGGCCCGCAACACGAGTCAGCCAGTCGCTTCCGGCTTCTCCCATCCCGACGCTCGGGGGTCTCACTCCCCTTCTGGCTGCTCCCTTCCTCGCCCACGACCCCCGAGCTTCCTCACCAGGCCCAGCTTCCCTCCTGAGCTCCCGATCAAGGCGTCCAGCGCGCCAGCCGAGCGGCCGCCTGCCTGGGACAGAATCCCCGTCCCGGCCGCTCTGTGCTCGCCGCTCCCGGGGCACAGCTGCCCCTCCGCCTGCAGCTGTCTGAGACCGGGGGGTCGGGGCCAGCAAGCCCTGCAGAGCTTGAAGGTCTCACTTCCCTCCGCTGCAGGGGAAGTCACACTGCATCTCCCCTGCCCACCGACACCTCCCTTCTCTCCCCTGACCTAGAAGGCCATCCCTTTCCTCTAGAAACAGTAACAATAGTGATTTACCCAACACTTAGGGTGAGGCCGCTTTATGTGTATAATGCATGAAGTCCTGCTGTAGTAATGGGACCTATTACTATCCCCATTTAACAGATGTGGAAGCTGAGGCCCGGGGAGACCCAGGAACTTGCCCATGTCACAAGCCAGTCTGTGGCGAGCCTGCGTGAGAACCCATGCTCCAGGAAAGGGTGACACAGCGTGCCAGAGGAGCTACCGGGCTTTCGGCCTGAAGCAGTCGGGCAGGTGTGGCGGGCTCTGGATGAGAGGACTCTGCTCACAGGGGACTGGGGGCACTCGACGTGGAAGCCGGACCACCCGCTCCTGAGGGCCCATGCAGATGACCGCACCCAGGCCACCGTGAGCCCTGCTTGTTCCGTCTTCGGCTCCTGCTGCTGTTTCTCTCGTGATGAGAACTTCACTCTGTGATGACGCAGCCGCCTGCCAACCACCCGGGGACGCTGACCATGGCTCGGGGAGGACAAGCGGCCTCGGAGCGATCTGACTTTCCCCGCCGTCTTCTCCCCAAGTCTGTTTCTAGGTGAGTGACTAACGTCAGCTTCCCTATGAGGCTCAGCGTAAAGAATCTGCCTGCCGTGCAGGAGACCCGGGCTCATGTCCTGGGTGGGGAAGGTCCCCTGGAGGAGGGCCTGGCAACCCACTCCAGTGTTCGTGCCTGGAGAATCCCGTGGACAGAGGAGCCTGGTGGGCTGCAGTCCATGGGGGAGCAAAGAGTCAGACACGACTGAGCACACACACAACGAATGGCAAAGCGTGAGAAGGAGGACCTTTTCGAAGGGCAGTAGATTTACTAAAACAACACGGGGGGAGGGAGTTTCTGAGGGTGGAGAAGTGAGGGGGCTGAACGGAGGGGCTGCAGGAAGCCCCGTCCGGGAAGGAGCAAGGTGACTGAGGCGTATTCAGGGTGCGGAGACATCTACCTGAAATTTCCTGTTCTCACCTTCCCTGCCTCCAAAAGGTGGTTTTCTCTTTTCCGGACTAATTCCTCACACCTCCGTCTCTTCCTGCCAAGTTGATTTTGTAACTTCAGCCTGCGCCAGAGGACACGAGGCCCTCTCAGCCCAGGCCTCCCGCTTAGCTCCAGGGGTCCAGCCGAGCCGCGGGGTCACAGGCGCGGTGGGGAGCACGTCCTGGGGGCGCGGCCCCTCAGCAAGACGAGCACAAAGCCAGGGGATGAGAGACGAGCGCCGGGTCTCCAAGCTCGCTTTCCTTGGCAGCATGTTCAAAGCTCGGGGGTCTAGATTGCATTTTAATGGTCTCAGATTAGCACAAAGGACTTTTCCCCCTGTGGTGAATAATTAACCCAATTCTCCCAGGCACCTTTTTAAAACTGCAGAAACCATTCGTGTTCATTCAAGGTGACAGAAAACCATCAGGGCCCTCAAATATCGCAGTTCCTGTATCTTCTCGCTCCACCCCTGTAACCTAGATGCCGGGACCATGTACCCCTCATGGGGGACATCTGCCAAGACCAGGAGCAGGCCAGCCCCCTTGCAACCTCCAAAGCGCAGAAACCTTGGGAGGCGCGCTCAGGGCCAGCGAGTCTCGACCAACAGGACTTGGCATGTGATTCCAAAACACAGGGTGGGTTTTCCATCTTGCCTTGCTTCGGGATTTGCAAAGTGGAGAACTTGCGAGAAAGAAAGGAGCAGGAAAGCAGAGCTAAGGAGGAGAATCCCTGAATCTCCCGAAGGCAGGAGGAAGGGAGGAAGGGACAGAGGAGGAGGAGGGAGGAGGGAGCACTCCTTGACCCAGCTGGGCTTTGCTTTTCTATAGTATCTTTGTTCTTAAAGATTTTTGTCGTTGTTGCGGACCATTTTTTAGTCTTTACTGAATTTGTTACATTGTTGCTTCTGTTTTATGATTTGTTCCTGGTGGTGAGGCATGTGGAATCTTGGCTCCCTGACCAGGGATTGAACCTGCACTCTATGCATTGGAAGGCGAAGTCTTAACCATTGGACCACCAGGGAAGTCCCTCTGGTGCCTTTGTCCACTTCCCAGGGGCTTTCTTGTGCTCATCACGACAGCCTGACAAGGTCAGAAGGGCGGGGAGACAGACCCCTGGTCACAGATGACCCAGCGAGGGGACGAGACCTCTCACTCAGCCAGGCTGGCGCCGTGGGTTGCGGCCTTGGTTCTCCGTTGACACGTCTTCTATGTAAGCCCTGAATGACCCACTGACTGCAGTCCCACGTTCTTCAGGACAAGCAATGTAACTAATTTATAAACTTACTGAATGCATGGATAACGACGGATTTCAAAAACCATTTTGTTGAGGAAATTTTAAGCTTATCAGAGCTGGAGAGACTTACGTGAAGAATTCCCTTGTACACAGTTTCAACCATCATCTGTCTCCCTCACTAGTTTTATCTACCCTCCTCCACAAACACTCACCCTTTCTTCTGGGGCTTGAAACACATCCCAGCCCCTGCACCATCTCGCCTGCAAGTACTTCCGTGTGCATTTCTAACAGATAGGACTTTTAAAATATAGCCGTTGCCCCGTTCCACAAAACCAGCGGCATCCAGCACACAGTCCATGCCAAATTTCCCCAGTTGTTTCAGAAATATCTTTTTCCAGCTGGTGGCTGATACTCAGAGGAATATTGACTTTCTGGAGAATCAAAGCAGAAACAAAGGGTTTTGCCTTGAACTTCTCAGCTGCCCTGTCACTTCCTCCCGACCTCCGCCCACCCGTCACCCTCTAAGCAGGGAGCCAAGGGCCAGGGGGACACTTTCAGAGTTGCTGAGCAGGTGGCCCAGAACCGTAGGCAGGCCTCGGAAAGGTGTGGTCCTGACACCAGGTCCTCCTCCAGGAGATCCTGTCCCACATCAGACACAGTGTCTCCATCCGCACTCTCCCCGTGGGGCCAAGAGGTCCGAGGGCCGGCTTTTCCTGCAGAACCAGAATCCACTGCAGATCTCGTGACTCCACAGGGACTGAAATCAGGAATCCTAGGAAACGCTTAGGATGGGTCCCTGAAGAATGTGGGTTCTGAAGGGTGAGGGGAAGGGACACACTCGGTTATTCACAGGAGCAGACGCGTAACCACCCCACTCTGAAACACTTGAGCACTCTGCGTGTGCAGAAGCACTTGTGCAGAAGACAGCGCAGACGCCAGGGGAAGACACCCCAGGAGGCAGGGGCTTCGCTGCCACGAGCAGAGGCCACGTGCAACAGAGCCCGGGGGCTTCTTTCCTGGGGTTCTGCGGCCTCAGTAACCAGAGCTGCCTTCAAGCTACGAGTTCTAATAGAAATCATACTGTGTGTTAATTATAGGTTTAAACAAAGAAAGAATTTTGTATAAACTTGACCAGCTCATCTGATAAAAATAGTTCTTGACACTTTAGTAAACCTCATTTCCAGCCTGTGTTTGCTTCCCCACATATGAAAAGTTAACTCATCTGCTTACAGATATTTTAGGAATCCTCCCCATTTTTATCAAATGAGCTCTTGGTTCCAGAGGGATAAATCCTGGAGGTAGTATTATTGGGGATTAAACTCAAGGCTCCAGAATTGGATGCCAGCACTGATGCTCCTAACAGTCATTTCACTTCAGATGATCTAACTAGCCTCTTTGGTGTCGTCCTCCCGCCTATGAAATGAGGCCAAGGTTATCTCCACCCCACGTGACAAGATAACACGTTCTCAGTCAACAAACCAGGCAAGGTTCTAGGTGTCAAAGACACTCCCATCAACAAGTCCCACAGGGTCTTGCGCTCTAAGAGCTTTCATTCTGGTTGGGAAAGCAAAGATCAAGAGAAAAAGAAATATCAGAATGGGCATGCGCTCTTCCTGACAATTGTTTGAAATGCTGTGCCATAGAGCGGTCTAGGTGATGCGAGGGAGACTTCGTGGAGGTGGTGGTAATTAAACGGAGACCTGAATGATGGGTGAGGAGTCAGCCATGCAACGATCTTGGGGGAAAGCATTTTAGGCTGAGGGAACAGCCAACTCCAAGGTCCAACAGAGGTGCAAGTTTTGTGTTCTCAAGGGGCAGAGCGTTGGACGTGTGGATGGTGAGGAGGGTGGGGCCGAGTCGGACTCTGCAGGACTTCAGGAAACTGGACACACTCTGTCACCCAAGCCAGGAGGAGGCCTGGATGCTCTGCCTCATTTCAAAATGATCTGTGTCCAGTGCAGAGACATGTTGGGGAAGGGGAGGACCGGTCTGGAGAGTGTTGGAGCAGACCAGCTAGGAAGACAGTGGCTTTGACTAGGATCCGAGCCTTGCTGATGGGGGAAGTGGTCAGGCTTGGAATGTATTTCCGAAATAAATCTGCCAAGATTAGGTGGCTGAATGAAAAGAGCCAACGAAAGAGATGCATCAAGAATGATTCCTGTGGGAAACATTTGTTTCAAAGTTGTGTGCGTGTGTGTAGAATTATGTGTGTAATGGTTTCCTTAGAGAAGGTCATTACCCAAATCTTTAAAAAGGATACAGCTAGAAGTAAAAAGTTCTTTAGATCATAAATAGAATAATCCATTTTGCCCTATTTTCATTTATTTTGTTAAGTGCATTTTTCACTACTTCAATTTGATAAACTTAAATGCAATGAACTGTGGCTATTTCACATGTGCAGTCTGATGTTTTCGCATGATTATAATAACATGCTTTGTAAAGATACTTAATAAATAGTACATGATCATTTGTTTACAAAAAAAAGAATGATTCCTGTGGGACCTGCCTGGCGGTCCAGTGGCTAGGACTCTGAGCTTCCACTGCTGGGGGTATGGGTTCTATCCCTCATCAGGGAATGAAGATCCTGTAAGCCACATGGCACAGTCAAAAAAAAAAGTGATTCCTGGGTTTGAGAT